CCTTTTCTGATGAAGGGTCTAGGCCCGAAACGTCAGCCTCTCTGCTCCTATGATGCTGCTTGGCCTGCTGTGTTCATCCAGCCCTGCACCTTGTTGTCTCTATTAAATATCTCTGCCAGGGCTCCAGTAAATGCCTCCCTTGCCTCCCACAGCAGCCTGGGATACATCCTGGGTCCTGGGAATTTATACACTGTTATGCTTGCTAAAACATCAATACTTCCTCTTTATTAATTTTAACATGTTCTAGAACGTCACCATCCCAACTTAAACCCACGGCTACAATATCTTTCTCCATTGTGAATACAGACGAGAAGAATTCATTTAAGACCTCATCCACATCCTCAGCCTCCATAGACAGGATGCCTCTTTGGTCCTTAATAGGTCCCACTCTTTCCCTGGTAATTCTCTTACTCTGAATATGATTAGAAATTGCCTTGAGGTATTCCTTGTTCCTATCTACCAAAGATATTTCATAGCCACTCTTTGCCCTCCTAATTTCCTTTTTAAGCAACCCCCTAAACTCTCTATACTTTTGAAGGGATTCCCTTGTTTTTAATGTGCTGTACCTGAAAGCTGCCAGGTGGATAGAGTTGTTAAGAAGGCATTGTTCATTAATAGAGGGATTGAGTTCAAGAGCCGTGAAGTTATGGTCCAGCTATACAAAACCCTGGTTCAGCCACGTCTGGAGTATTGTGTCCAGTTCTGGTCACCTCATTACAGAAAAGATGTGGAAGCATTGGAAAAGGTGCAGAGGAGATTTACCAGGATGTTAGATAACAAGGTGTAGAGTTGGATGAACACAGCAGGCCAAGCAGCATCAGAGGAGCAGGAAGGCTGAGGTTTCGGGCCTCGACCCTTATTCAGAAATGGGTGAGGGGAAGGGGGTTCTGAGATAAATAGGGAGAGAGTGGGAGGTGGATAGAAGATGAATAGAGGAGAAGATAAGTGGAGAGGAGACAGACAGGTCAAAGAGGCAGGGATGGAGCCAGTAAAGGTGAGTGTAGGTGGGGAGTTAGGGAGGGGATAGGTCAGTCCAGGGAGGACGGACAGGTCAAGGGGGCAGGATGAGGCTAGTAGGTAGGAGATGGGGGTGCGGCTTGAGGGGGGAGGAGGGGATAGGTAGGAGGAAGGACAGGTTAGGGAGGCGGGGACGAGCTGGGCTGGTTTTGGGATGCGGTGGGGGAGGGGAGATTTTGAAACTTGTGAAATCCACATTGATACCATTGGGCTGCAGGGTTCCCAAATGAAATATGAGGTGCTGTTCCTGCAACCTTCGGGTGGCATCGTTGTGGCACTGCAGGAGGCCCAGGATGGACATGTCGTCTGAGGAATGGGAGGGGGAGTTGAAATGGTTCGCGACTGGGAGGTGCAGTTGTTTAGTGCGAACTGAGCGTAGGTGTTCCGCAAAGCGGTCCCCAATCCTCCGCTTGGTTTCCCCGATGTAGAGGAGGCCACAACGGGAACAGCGCATACAGTATACCACATTAGCAGATGTGCAGGTGAACATCTGCTTCATGTGGAAAGTCTTCTTGGGGCCTGGGATGGGGGTGAGTGGGGAGGTGTAGGGGCAGGTGTAGCATTTCCTGCGATTGCAGGGAAAAGTGCCGGGTGCTGTGGGGCTGGAGGGGTGTGTGGAGCGGACAAGGGAGTCACAGATAGAGTGGTCCCTCTGGAAAGCAGATAAGGGTGGGGAGGGAAAAATATCTTTGGTGGAGGTCGGATTGCATATGGCAGAAGTGTCGGAGGATGATGCGGTGGTTCCGGAGATTAGTGGGGTGGTACGTGAGGACAAGGGGGATTCTGTTTTGGTTGTTATTGCGGGGAGGGGGTGTGAGGGATGAGTTGCGGGAAATGCGGGAGACACGGTCAAGGGCGTTCTCGACCACTGAGGGCGGGATGTTGCGGTCCTTGCAAAACGAGGACATCTGAGATGTTCGGGAGTGGAATGCCTCATTCTGGGAGCAGATGCGGCGGAGGCGAAGGAATTGGGAATAGGGGATGGCATTTTTGCAGGAAGGTAGGTGGGAGGTGGTGTATTCTAGGTAGCTGTGGGAGTCGGTGGGCTTGAAATGGATATCGGTTTCCTGGTGGTTGCCAGAGATGGAAACAGAGAGGTCCAGGAAGGAGAGAGAGGTATCAGAGATGGTCCAGGTGAACTTAAGGTTGGGGTGGAAGGTGTTGGTGAAGTGGATGAACTGTTCGAGCTCCTCATGGGAGCACGAGGCGGCGCCGATACTGTCATCAATGTAACAGAGGAAGAAGTGGGGTTTAGGGCCAGTGTAGCTGCGGAAGAGGGATTGTTCCACATAACCTACAAAGAGGCAGGCATAGCTTGGGCCCAAGTGGATACCCATGGCCACCCCCTTTGTCTGTAGGAAGAAGGAGGAATTGAAAGAGAACTTGTTGAGGCTGAGGACGAGTTCGGCTAAGCGGATGAGGGTGTCAGTGGAGGGGGACTGGTCGGGCCTGCGGGACAGGAAGAAGCTGAGGGCCTTTAGGCCATCTGCATGGGGAATGCAGGTGTATAGGAACTGGACGTCCATGGTAAAGATGAGGTGTTGGGGACCAGGGAATTGGAAGTTTTGGAGGAGGTGGACGGCATGGGTGGTGTCACGGATGTAGATAGGGAGTTCCTGGACCAAGGGGGAGAAAATGGAGTCAACATCCTCTTTACCAGGATGTTGCCTGGAATGGAGGGAAGGTTTTACGAGGAAAGGTTGAGAGAGCTAGGGCTTTTCTCTTTAGAACTACGAAGGATGAGAGGTGACTTGATAGAGGTGTACAAAATGATCAGAGGTATAGATAAAGTGGACAGCCAGAGACTTTTTCCTGGGGCAGATGTAGTTATTACGAGGAGGCATAGTTTTAAAGTGAGTGGAGGTAGATATAGGGGAGATGTCAGAGGTAGGTTCTTTACTCAGAGAATGGTAGGGGCATGGAATGCATTGCCGGAGAGGGTAGTGGAGTCGGCCTCATTAGGGGCATTTAAGGGGCTATTAGATAGGCATATGGATGATAGTATAAGGTAGGGGTGGAGGTCAGATAGACCTTAGGTTTAGGGTAAAAGTTCGGCACAACATCATGGGCCGAAGGACCTGTACTGTGCTGTACTGTTCTACGGTCTATGTTCTCTGTACCTGACAAATGCTTCCTCCTTTTTCTTTATCAAACTCACGATATCCCTTGACATCCAGGGTTCCATGGACTTGCTGCATTTCCCTTCACTCTTAGAGGAACACATTGGCCCTGAATTCTCAGTATACTACTTTTAACAGATTCCCACTTTCCAAATGTAGACTTGCCTGCAAGCACCTGCTCCCAGTCTATGTTTGCCAGATCCTGTCAAATGATATTGAAATTGGCCTTCCCCAATTTTGACACTTAACTTCTGCACTATTCTTATCCCTTCCCATAATGACCTTGAAACTTACAGAGTTCTGGTCGCTATCCCCAAAACGCTCACCCACTGAATGTTTAATCACAGGTTGAATATAGGATTGAAAGTTCAGAAAGGGTCAAGGGTGCTGAAGCTGTGAAGCCCAAGACAGCGGACAAGCAACCAAATGGATTTTGAACCAGAAATTAATAATAATTCGTCTGTGCAGTATTTAACTGGAGAAGTTTACAGTTCATCAAT